ACAACGAACAAGCAAAAGATAAATGAGTGAACAGCTCTTTTCAGGTTTTTATTGAAACGAAGGACGGATTATGAAGGCCAGTGAGTGTTTTAGTGATGTCGAGCAAATACAACAATATTGTGTACTTACAAGTAACGAGTGAAATGGTAACTTGTAACGAACTTCCACGTGACCGTAGGCGTGACTGCAATGGCTACACTGTACCCCAATTCATCAAATTTACGGCTATCAACGCTGCCGTATCAGTGCCCTTATGTCAAAACACCACCCGTTGCACGGAGGTCGTGCTCATGAAAAGCTCGACCTCAGACTCCCAGCGAGTGCAGGACCACCACGGTGATAGGACGGTGTGCCTTCTAAAAATATGCTTATCTACGTCAACAGTGTGTATGCATGGATGTTTTGCTAGCGCCATCAACATTACATCAGTCATTGATAGTAAAAAAATGCCACCCTAAAGAAAACTTTGAAAGGGTTATAGAAGTAAGTGTCGTGGGCTTACTGTTACTATATACCTAAACAGGAGTTATCACCAATGACAAGTAATGAAGCTGTGTGGGTTATGTTATGCGTGAATGGCAAAAACATTGTGAAATATCGCTTTACAGCGTACTCACACATCCCGTTGATGTTTTCATGTGCCCACCTCGCTGCAGAGTTGTAAGAAGGTGGAATTGCAGTAATAGTAATAGTAAGCGATACGGAAGTTATGTATACGATTGGAATAAGTCAAGTAAACACCACTGTATCACGTGATAGTGAATCGAGCAGTTTCACTGTCGGTAATGATCAATGGGTTAGCACCAAGAGTGCTACGCTAGGTCATGCCAACAGACTTCCTCATAGGTACGTGAGCGTTCTTTGTTGTTCCGCCGAGAACTTCAAAAAAAATAGATTTTCGATCAAAACATCCGTTTCAGGGAGAAGGAAACTCGTTTGGGACCTTACTGTAACCATTAGTGTTACTCGACCTTACTCTCTCCTTTCAGAGCGCGTGGGAGAATACCGGTCGCTTCCGTAACTCCATAGCTTTACGGAAAGGAAAATTCGGAAGGCAGAAATCTGAAAAGCAGCCGAACACGTCGGTCTCGAGAAGTCAACATTGAGCTGATGCTTACATTGTAGGGTGGGAAACAATGTAGACTAGCTGATGCACGGTCAGTTGGGATACGCCACGTCAACGGATTCCATTTGAAATTGTAATGACCCTAAGATTCATAACCATGTACTGACCTTATTATTGGAGTAAAGGTAGTGGTTGCGGAGTAAACTGACCCTATGAAATCATAAGTTCAGCAGGACAGACAGATTCTGATTGATTGATCTGAACCTTGGACTATGCTTGTGCTATGGCGCCTCGTGCCTCTGCTCCACCATCGTTTCTGGTTCAGAGTAAAGTCTTCTTTGGGACCAATTAGGGTCTAGATCTTCATCAGATCCTAGTCATCCTTCTCCATAGCAGTAGCAGAGATTAGAGGATTGTAGTTTAAACTGTAGAGCTACTGGAGGAAAGTATACGACCGTCACATCGTCATCAATGGCCTCACTGATGAATTTACTTTTTGGTTGAAATAAGTAACTCTAACTGTTAACATATGCGTACAAGTTCAATTTGAAACTGCCTGTCGGCATGATAACGAAGAGCGGTGATGATAGAGACAGCCCGTACACAGATAAAGAGCAAACAAGTGGAAACAGCGAATTTCAAGTTGTCGTGAAGCGCTTGAACTTCTCAGTGCATAAGCACTTTTTTCAAGAATGTTCCACACGTGTCTTAACGGCATATGACGACATACGACGTGAGAGATCCTGTTTATTTACGGCCCATTTAGATGCTCGAACAATCAGCTGAGGAGCTGGAGCATGACAGGAGTCGGTGATTCAGGACCACCCGCAGCGCACTGTGGCGACCGGGGTGAAGGTGGTATTGGAATGAAATCAATTACAAACACCAACACGATGTTTGTAAGGACTTCGACGAAACTGTGTAGTGCACCGGAACGGCTAAATAAATGACGAAGCATGTCAGTTGGCCAGTATGGCTACATTCTAGCCGCCGATCATATGGCGCCGACCGGTCGCCGTTGACGAAGACCTGTTTTGACGTTCGAGACTTCTTCTTCATCTTGCCCATCGTATGTCCTCAGTCCGACCTTGGTGACCACCAAATTTATGATCACGCAGCGAAAATTCAATAACATCTCGAGTACATGAACACGACCTAATCGACAAGATATTGTGCTTCCCCGCAGTCCTTCCGATTGTCCAGGGACAGAAAGGGAATGGAAGAAGAACAGCAGCCTTCACGTGGCGTGGAACAGGGGCGGCATCGGAGTCGCCTTGTTGTAGTTGCAGGATCGATTCCCCAACCAGGTATAGCGGATTCCCAACTCAGTTTTCACTACATGATGTTCTTCTGCCTTTAAAGGGCAAAAACGCTGAAAGCCAAAGCAGCTCGTGTATCACCAAGGGTTAGAAGGTCAGACGAACCGAATAAACCTACGAAGCTCTATTGTGTACGAGGGCATAGCGCATCCCTAAACCGCTTATCCAGGCTTATCTTCCAAAGCGATGCCTCTTCCACTCACATAATTTCCAAGCAGTAACAGTAACGAGGAGATAGTGTAGTGGAAAGCGGCGCACAATCTCATATGCATGGTTTGAGGATCGAAACCCGCATCTAAACTCGTCCAAGGCAACCGTATCATCCACCCTTCCCGGGTTGGTTAGCTATTATACAACCAAAGTCGTCTAGGAGGATAAAATCTAAAACTTTTGCAACTAATGGCCACAGCAAGCCATTGTGGGAGCCCAATACGCATTCAATCGCGACTACGATTCGGAATATAAGTCGTATGCGGGGCGCATCCCAAGAGTGGGACTGCTCAACGCCGGAGATTGTCTTTCCATACTTCAATAGTCATACAATCACCATCAACATCAGTATATGTTCAGTGGCCAAATTTAAAATTTTCAGGGTTCAGCGAACATAGTTTCTTATGTACTTGTTTGACTGGATACTTTGCAGCACTAGTACAGCAAACAAGAAAAAAGTTCGACCCTGAGCACGACCACAAAAGCAGAATTTTGCAGAATTTATTCAAAAAACTGGCTCAGACGTATTTACGATGTCGTAAAATTGCAAGACAAGAGTGGCAGACACAAAGGCTGTTCCTTTAGTGGCAATGAAATGTGTATCGGTAAACATCGATGATTGGATCTAACCGTTAAATCAATCGATAATTACCAATTATATTGAAACATTTGAACGGAGAAACGCTCTCCTGTAATTGTAAGAGCCAGTTTAGGTACCACGTTAGTTGCAAAAAAGGGTTTGTCGATTTTTCGGAGATGGCATCGAACCTATGTATCGAGCACGATCAATCGGAGTACTATGAATGTAGAATCTGAAAATATTTGCTCCTCCCATTCAACAGGACCTCGCCACCAAATACCCATGTTTTCAATTTTCGATGTTTTTGAGTAACTATTGACTACTATACGAGTAAAGAAATCTATAGGGTAGTAGTTAGGAGGAGCGGCTGTTGAATATATGCCCGTTCCGCCAGCTTCCCAGTTTAAACTATTCCGTGATTAATTATATCATCTCTGAGATTGGTAAATGAGGGATACACTCCAATGGTATCTCAAGGGATCATTGGTTGGAAACCTGTTGCATTCCGTTCGCTAGTTGCGAAGGGATGCATGGCGCATTCTCGAAAAAAAAACCTGCAAAACATAACAACTAGAAAATTCCTTGTTGATTCAGCCAGCCGGGTGAGAGTGACGAGGGTTTATGGTTTGAAAACCCTCAAAGAACGCTCATCACTGTTTCTATTTCTGCTATGAATCATTATAAAAACACAAGCAAATTGGCTACAAAGGCAACACCCGTTTTAGGTAGCAATCAGTGGAGTGATGAAATAGGAGGGGCCAAAAATCGAAACCGCTACAAGTAAGGGGAGGTAAAAGAAGCCGTGTTTTGAACTACAAAAGGAAATCAGAGCTGTCATGGGTCGAGTTGCAGTCGAATGAGGGATGACGAGGGGTGTGAAGATCTGATGCTTCAAAGATGAGTGAGATTGACGCAATTGTATGACTCGATCGAATCGAAGCTGAATGAGACGATCAGTCATACTGCCACGTAGCACGTATTATCCATAATACCTTGACAGACATGAAGTGGGCACAGAGGGCACAATGTAGGGCGAGAAGTTGAAGAGCGTAATATGTAGTATGGTAACGGACTCAAACACCTTTTGGCCTATGTTAAGTGCCATGTAGGTTGGACCCGGAAGAAGGGAACTAATGCTTAAGGTTGTTTTGATGTCCTAGCATCAGGATTTCATGTGGTGCAACGCCAGGAGGCGCACTATAAGACGCATGGTGCTGGATTAAATCCTGATCGCATCGTCCGCCCAAACCAAACAGACACTCCATCTCTTTGAGCTCTAGCAAATGATACCTGCCAAATTTGTCTGAAAAGACAAGCGTATTTATCGGTTGGGTACAGTTATTCACCGTGTAGGCCACGTACGCATTCAAAACGCCACTACTATTTTGAACAAAAGTCCAGTGCGGGGCGCATCCTCAATCTGCAGAAGAACTGTACTTCTAACTGCTCTATAACTTTGCATTTCTCCATATGCTCCTTTCGAATGTTCTCGTCACGTCGTCAAAGACCTTTTCTAAGGGGTAGAGGCAGAAGTGCCCCCAGCAAGATATCCATGCCATCACTCCCAAGTGAAGGAACAGTCTACAAGGTGACGGGCTTAGAAGAATAACTAGTCCCTGCGTACGAGTTTGCTATGTGGCAATATAACCCTAGTATCAGCCCCACCCATATGTCCCCTTATCGAGTTCTTTTTTTTAAGACTTCCACTCAGCCTCTCTCAGAAGCCAAGAGCGTCAAATCCACCAGAGATGATCATGGTCCATCACATCTAAATTCATCCCGGTTACCAGCTTCTTCGTGCAAGTGACTCTACCTACAGCGCAACATGGAAAAGGGGCGGGCCATGCGGTGGCGCGGTGGCGCGGTGGCAGGTCTAGCGGCGTTGCCAGTGGACGAGTCGTTGACCGAACGAGCCGCGAATTCGTGTGCGAACAAGTAAATGTGATGTGTTTGGGTTCGTCCATTGCTCTTGCATTGCTTTTCTTCGTTTGATATGATCTAACATTACTTTTACTCCTTTATTTAGGACATCAGCTGTTGCCCTTGTGCAATATTTCAATGTTCAAATTAAATTTGACCGGGAATTACTTCTAAGAAATTGGCAACCTACCTGTATGTAATTCTCGATGCAGTTATTTTTGCCGTTTCTTTTTATTCTTTTTTACAAAGGTAGGTCACCAATATTATATCCGATCGATATTGATATTACATTAGCCGTTCAGGTCTCAGTGCAGCAACCCCTGATTACACGGAAATCGATTATGATTTAGTTTTGGAAAACTATACCTACAACGATGGCGACGCCATAGTTCACTCGGTATAAAAATCAAATATATATCATCATGTGATCAACTATTGATTAGTTTAAAGGGCTAGTTCGCGCGCGTTTTACAGGAGATACACGAGGTCTTTAAACATTACCGCAAATGCCGAGCTGACAACGAATGGTCTTGTGATGAAAATTGCCGGTTAGAATTTCTCGAACAAACCAAGAAATGTAAGTCAATTTAAATTGAATCTCTTTTTAAAGTGAAGGGGCCCTATTTCAGGTCGAAATCCGGATCTTGATGATAATTGCTTTGGTATACCAATTACCTACCAATATTCTCGCGATTTTCACCTACAAAGATTCCCGCGTGAACTCGCAGTGCTCAGTCATTACCCAAGGTAACTCTACTTTGGATTTTTTTNTTTTTTTCCTAAGCCTCACGTAAAAGGGCCTTCTTTAGGTGTTGGTCCCATTTTGCTCCACTGGTCTGTGCCACCATCTATCGGCCCTGTTCTCGTCATTTCTACATTCAAAAAGATAAACAGGGTAAAGTAAAGGTGAGCTGTTTTTTGGTTTCATAATATCACGAATGATACGCGTGTGTAGATCATGAAGTGATAGTCAAATCGATACCAGTGCCATTGCCGCTAACCCTTCGCGGTGTTGGGGTATTGATTGATGGGTGGGCTTGGGCTGCAGAGCACTGCGTTTCTCAATCTCCTGACATCAATATTTGAATAACTACAGTCAATATCAGCATTTTTGAGTACAGAGTACCTTATTAGGTAATGTAAAGCATTTGGACCACCCTGAATACAGAGAATCAAACCAGTAACAGGAAACATATAAACTCTTATTATTCATTGCAGGAAATCACCCAAATTGTAGGAACCATTCAGTTTTCAAGTCAACTCCTTATATTTTGATAGTACATTAAGGTCTTTTTAAGTTAATAAATCAGAAAAAAGGGGGATACTGCGATGTGGGTTTTAGCAGAGTTGTATGAGGGCCCTTTGGCATGGTTTGAAAAGCGTCGTAGGACCTCGAATCCGTAATATCTCGCTAGTGCTGTTGCAATAAAAATTCACTGACAAGAAAGTCTAAAGTCAAGCTAAATAAAGTTAACTGTGGGCAAGGTCAGTAGTGTTGTCAAGAGTACATGAGGTTCCGACGGTCTTTACCTAGTTCTCAGATGATTCCCCTTTCAATTTCCTCCTTGCATTAGGTGTATTTGTGGAGTGCAAACTTGTAAAATCCACTGAATCGTCATTGTGCCCGTTTTTACTCCGAAGCGGTCAAGGGAGCTGAGCCCCCTGCCGTAACCCCGCGTATCGATTGGTGCCCAGTCTGCGCCGGCGTGCTTGCTTTGGGTATCTGCCCTGTCATGAAGCGTAAACACAATTTTTCGTTCCAAATGTAGTTAATACTCAAGTTTTCTCTTCAGAATGGAACCGTTGAACTCTGGCAGCTTCTAAGTGCGTCATCATGCGAATCGGTTCATCAAGCATGCAGCGGCCTCATCTCCACACACCTTTTAAAAGCTTACACTCAGTGTGGGGCTGAAAGTGCTGAAAGTACTGTGTTTAGTCGCCAACTGTACTCTAACGCTTGTCAAGTAAGTCTTAGTATTCAGTAGGTGGTTTTGTTTCACTATTACTACTTCTACCCATTCTTGCTTTAGTACTCATCTGAACAGCTACCCGTCTCTGTGAAAAGTGGGACGTGTGCTTGGCCATTGGTGTCGGGTCACAATCATTTCATTCATCAGGAATCTTCTCCAGTAGTTGATGAATGTTTCCTCCAATGCAGGTAATGATTTTCCATCGTACTTAAAATATGTATTATTTTATTTTCTTGGCAAGAGGTCCACACTTTGTGCCTCAGGGGTTTATTTCACCCTACATCTCTTCTATTTTGGTAGTGGTTCTGGCTGCCTTTGAGAAGTTGACCTTTGATGGACTAGCACCGGTTACCCTCTAGACTGCAGTGATTTAATCCTCTGTTTAAATCGACTCGTGCTAGACGCGGGCGGTCGCGATGCGGATTTTCCATGTCCTTGCTCGCGTGAGGCTTCATGCCGTCCAAAGTAATCGGCCAGGCACTGGCAACTATTCGAGTGAGAGTAATCTAGGTTGAAGCCGGCCCGGTTCAGTGGATGGAACATCACCGATTTATCGTTTTACAACTACAGGTTTTCCTCACAGGAACCATATTTCAAGTTACCTCTGCCTCCCTACCCCTTACCTGAAACTTCCTGCTGCACGGGTGGAGAACACCTGCTTGACGGCAAAATTCCCTTCTCCAGGGGATGAAATACGACCAAACTGTCGCGCTTTGAGCGTTACTACTTGACCCAGCTTGTTTTGAGATTCGAGTTTTAGTCGTTAATCAAACTCGATATGAGATGCGCCTGTGCACTCAATTTCCATTCAGAATTGTATCACCTACATTAACTTTCAAGGGTCAGATGGTGTACAAGACATTACTTTTGATTTCTCTTACAAGTTTTTTAATAACATAATGGCCGGAGGGACGAAAGTTGATTAGTTTGCTGCCGGACCTGCACCAAGTTCCAGGACCAACTATATCGCAGCAGCACTACTTCACTTATCCCTGACACCTCGCTCATTCTTGTCCCTTTATAGTCGAGAGTCTAGAGGTGATTTTTGCTGCTTTCAGGTCACCGCTTGTATCTCATTCACTGGCGAGCCGTTTTCGATCTGCACGGTTCATAATCTGTTTGATCCTTACTACTGTTTTTGTTATAGAGTCGGTAAGTAAACATTAGATCGCCCTTTCCCATTAGAGCGTTAAGCTAGCATTGTTCCAGGTTTACTTATCCCGGTTTTCAAATATATTCTCCGAGAGTTTACTGGTATTTTACATATCTCATGCGATGATCTCGATTTCCGTTTATTTCCTTGTATGGAGTATGCCGGTGTTCGATTATTTCTTCAATTTATCTGAATGTTCTATCGATGGAATAACTCGGCAATACGCTATTACCCATAGTGCTTTTGAATGGTTTGTTTTTTCAATATCTTTATTTCGATTAAGTTTTATGTTGTTGTCATGTTGAACATAACAATCTTGGGCGGGGCGTTTAGCGCGTTGCGGTCGTGGACGCGGTTCGTGGTCCGTATTAAGAGCTAAAGTGGTGCTTTTTCTAGAAATCGTTGAGTGTAATATCCGATAATAATGGAGCATAATCAATTTCAAGTCATTTTTTCTTTTTTTTTTTTTTTTGAAGATTGTTCTTTACAAGTATGTTTTTTCAGGTGCTCACTTCAGTCACTTATACTTTACGCGTCTTTGACTGCTGCCTTTATATGGTTATTCGCACTCTACACGTATGCCTTTTGTCCCCCACCTTTGTTCGAATGCTTTTTTCCGAAAAGGTATGCCTTTTGATAAATTTTAGCAACACCTCTAGAGGTTTATATGGTCGCATTTTTGGGAGGCCCTTCGTGGGGGAAGGAAAGGTTCCAGCGTGAGTTTAGATTCCATGGGTTTTACCACTTTCACATTTACCATTTTGATGAAGGCCGAGAAAACTTGGTAGTGGAGGTATTTCCGCTTGCCTATCATCTGCATTTTCTTAGATTGTCATTATATTTGTGTAGTAATGCTGTTTTTCAGATTGAGCACCATCAATGTGCGTTCAGCTCTCGTTCTTTCTATATATGGGTTTTCGGTGTTCTTGGCAATAGTCATGAATAACATGGTGAGCTCGATGCTACCACTAATTTTAATTTATTTGTATATTTCCCTTTTTTAGCGCGAGAATGATGGTGTGACAGGAGTCTGCTATAATGGTCTGGTAACGTGGTGGAAATATTTCATATCAATGTCTCCTTTCCTGTGTTTGCTATTTATCGTGTCATTTCTTGGGTTATTTGTTGTCTCTAAGAAAGATGGTGAGTTTTACTTAATTTATTGCGTAGGTGGAGAGTTAAGGGTTTTTGAACCGCGAGTTTGCGTCCGTTGATTGGTCACGGGAGCTATCGATTGATGAGATACCGCGACCGCACGCGTCTTAGCCTTGCAGCCCGAGATAGTTGTTAGGCGGAATTTATTATTGTTATATATTTCCAGGATTACTGAAAGCAAAAGCGACACGAGAAGCTTTACGTGTTCTGAATATTGCAGAGGAGAGTGAATATCGGACGAGGTGTAATGCTGCCAAGGTGATCGTATCCTAGCGTTCCCTACACGAGGTGCCTAATCGAAGTTGTTGCTCTTCCAGAGGAATGACCATACCGAAGAGGCGACAAGTTCCGTAAAGGGTGAACCTCTGTCGTGTGGACGTGAAGCTCTTTCTAATAGTGTTTTAACAGCTGGTTCTGATGGAATGCAAAAGCCAGTTCGCATAAAATCTGACTGGAAAGAAACGTACAACGGACTTTTGCCTAAAGGTTAAGGTTTTAGTAGTACTCTGTGCAGTCAATCAATATTATTGATTCTTATTGCCTTTTTTTCTACAGATTTCCTACAAGGACTATTCGATCAAGAGTTCACTAAGCACTATCACTACTTACAAGGCCGACTTGCTCACTGCAACAAACGCGAGCTGCCGAGATGGTGGGCAGGTGCGTCTTGAAAGATGCAGTTAACTTTGTTTCGGAATAAGTTTTTCAAGAAAGGCATCATTTTTCGTTGATCCCTGTTTCTAGAGAGACCTCCTATTGAAACTTTAACTTTATTTCTACTAGTGACAAATACTGTGAGTTTCAGTGGTGTCTTTCGGATTTGCTACACTGTTTCTGTTGGCTGCTCCAGTTATTCATAAGCGCTACACTAGCTTCGATTCTCAAGATCATGAGGCAAGAATTATTGCAGAGTACATCTAGTAAGTTTGTAGAGTTCTGAGAACTGTGCACAAATACCTAGCTCATCCTTAATTTTGTCTGATGACCCGCTTGCCTTTATCCCAAGGTCATACAAATCCACTGCGTAGCGCACGCGACGCGTCGCGCAGCCTTGAGGCGGTTACCCGCCTACCATGCACTATGTATCAACGATTGCCTTCGCTGGCAGTAAAGGTAAAAAGCCAAAGTGCTACGGTTCATTATGACTAAATTACATAATTTTGGCCCGCCACCGTACTGATGAGTGGAATGGAGCGCGAACTGGCTCCAGCGCTGCGTAATGCGGAAAAGAGTTGTGCTCCTCTGAAAAGCGTTCTTTCCCGTGGCCACTACACAACAACGTAGCCAAACGTG